GTAGCCACAGCTGCCCTGGGGCGCACTGACAGAGGTGTATAATACTCCCCCTTTTAGAAAATATCCCTAATACGTTTTTATTATTTTGCTCACTTCTAAAGTGTAAAATCCTCACTGCAGTTTAATCTAAACAAAGTAAAATATATATCAACACAAAGCCCAGTTTATATTTAAATACTGCGTATGTATTTGTTAAAATAAAAATTGATATAATCCCACACACAACTCAATTATTTAAATAAAAAAAATTAAAAATCTGGGTGGAACCTAATTATGCTCTGACTCACTTAGGTGTTTTAAATTGTGACTGTTATTTTATCATCTGTCTTGATTATTGCTGTCTTTGGGGTTTCATTACTGGGGAGTATTTCCTTGACAAGTCGTCTCTTTTTTCGGCACAACAGTTTTTAATGGGGATATTTCATTTGTATTTGCTCAACACAAATCTGTGATTTATTTAAAATCTGGGTCTTTTATAAAGTCAAGGGCATGGCTCACAGGATTAAATAAAAGCTCAGGACTGACAGTTGAGGTGAAAACATGGTGGGGAGGGGGCACATGCATACCTGACATCATAATGTGCARGCTGAAATTGAAAATATTAAATCCAAATTTATTATAGAATGTTGGGTATGAAAGCAAAAAATCTAATAAAATAGAAGTTCACACAATGASAGAATACATGTGAAGTCATGATTTACATTTTTCATCTTTATAGTAAACAACCAAAAATATTACCACTTTCAGTAAAAAACAATTAAATTTACTTTCATCAGCAAGAAGTTCCTAGTTTGGACTCGAGGTCATTCTGTAGGCATTTATCCACAGACTGGGTTCGGTTTGGCTCCACCATAGCCTGGTAAAAACCAGCCCCTTGTTCTCCGCTTTGCTTTGTACAGAGGGTCTGGACTCTGGCTATTGAGAAGTGATTGCTTCCTGGAGGCGTGGTCYCTGTTGAAGTTTAATATGATTGGATCTGATTTACCCAATCGCTAACGGTTGGCCGTGACACATGTACGCCAGCTTGGCTAAGCTAAGAAGCTAACCGGAAATTGCATGYCTGCRCTGTAAACAACCATCCCCTAATGAGAGGACAGAAGTACAGAGCCAAATGAGATGTTGCGATTGGCCAGTTAATTTCTGGACATCTATGGTTTGATTTCTTTGTATGTATGGATAACCTGGAATGTTACCAACATCTGGTGAAAATTTCATGTCAATAGCGCCTCTAGAAATATACTTACTGAGAAAAATRTTGACGTGTTCAATACTTATTTCAAAATTTCACACCTCCTGACATTTCAAAATGTTAGGATTGGTGTTATTTATTGAAATACAAAAGGTCCAGAGATGGAAAAAGTGTTTTSCTGAAGCAGAATCTGATACTTTCTTTAATCATCTTTAGTTTTTTTCAGAGAAAGGGGATAAAAATGAGCATTTCAGAGCAAAAAAAAGGTTAATTATTTAAACCTTGCAGTCTCAACTCTACTTTCCGTTCCCTTGTTTCCTTTCATTTCCAAACCAAAGTCACTTTTATCATTTGTGATTCTGACAGCAGCACCATTATGCTTCAGCACAGTAATTCCATCAAAAGGAAACAGGCAGTAAAATATCTAATTCTCCATTAGTCTGAACCAGTCAGACATCACCCTCCATCACCAGTAATTAAGTCAGGACTAACGAGTCACCAACAGTTCCTCTGAGCTACTCCTGTAAGCTTGAACTCAGGTTCAAAACCAGATTTATGCAGAAAATTTGCTTTTCTTTCATATCAGTCCAATAATAACTAACAAAGTAGACTTGACATTTCAAAACTCTGAAGAAAAAAAATWGTTGAGTATGCGAGTATGGGTTTGTGGGTCATTTGTAAGTGTTCATTCAGTCCTTATACGAGTGGTGTGAGAGAGAAGAATGGAGCGTGAGATTGACAAACAGATCAGTGTGTCTTCCACAGTATTGTGAACTCTGTACCGGTTTGCTGTGGTGARGCTCTCTGTTTGCCGATCAGTYTACGTTCCCACCCTCACCTGTAACCACAAACTTTGGGTAGTTACTGAAAGAACAAGATGGATAAAAGCAATGAAAGGTTTTCTCTGCAGTGTGGCAAGACAAGTCCAGTTCAGTTACCCAGGAGCATTCCATTCCCACTCCCAACTCGTCACATGTTGACGCTTGTCCAAGGTTCCCTCTGTGTCRATATGTGACGAGTTTTGATGCGTCAGGTAACTCCCTCGCATCAGTTATTGACAAGATGAGAACAWGGAGACGGAGCCCATTGTCATATTTTTGAAAAGTGTAGAAAATGTATGACAACTAACCACCCCAAACCCTAATATTAACCATGGACCYCAACTCAAAGACCCTATGTGTCGCGAACCCRGTAAAGCCCTGTGGGTCAATAACTGATGCGAGGGGGTTACATGATGTGTCAAACCCTGAGGGAACCTGGACAAGCATCAATCTGTGACGAGTCGGGAGTGAGAATGTAGCCTCATTCATAAGACAACTCAGTCCGGTACTGATGCGTGTTCTGTCCTCCTCAGAAAAAACACAAAGACAGAAAGGCGAGTAAATTGAGCTCGCCTCATGTGTCCCTGAGCCGTGAACAGAGGTAGTATCAGAGCCGGGACTGAGCCTGGCAGGCCCACTTCTGAAAAAGCAACCCACGGTTCCACGCTCAGAAAATGATAAGGAGCTGATGACGTCAGTGAGCGACCACAGGATTAATCAACAAACTGATTTATTACCAAGGGACTATTAAAGATGACACAGAACAGCAACTTTGCAGTTAGTTTAAAAACATTTAACCACCACAGGATCACTAAAATGAGTTAATTCAKTTTGTTTTGTTTGATACGARGCAGCAGACGTCCGTCCCACAATAAATGTGTCACGGTCCACTTCAGCCCAGCTGAGTYCTGCTCCACGCCTCTTTTCATTCCACACTGCTGGGTTCATTTCTGAATGCATGCATGTGAGGGGGACCAGGCCGGCTTCACTTGTGGTTTTATAAATGACCTGAGGGGGAATAAATCCAGACAGGTCTGTGTGGCGATTTTGTGGAATTGTCTTGTGAGTCAGGCTTGTGTTTCCAAGAGAGACTCAGAGTAGAGTCGCTGCTCCTCTTCATCAAGAGTAGCCAGTTGAGGTGGTTCTGACATCTGGTAAGGATGCCTCCTCGATGCCTCCCTGTGGAGGAGAGATGATAATTAATCATACTTTTCCAAGTTTAAAGTAATAAAATCTTTACAAGCAAGAGTGGTTTGAGGTACATGGTGAAAATGAGTGAGGTTTTGATGCTTCTTTTGTGAGCCCAAAACATTTCATTCATGTTCCAAGTTTGTTTAAAACTGAAACTCTTCATGACTCTGCACAAACTCAAGCGAGTAAAGAAAATGGACAGATTATTGGCCTCAGTCTGCATGTGTTTCAGCTTATTTAACAGATGTTGAGATAATTTTATGTTAGCCTGAAATGACGTTTCTCTCTTATTGAGCATGTCACCTGCATGTTTTCGACATTTTGCCAGATTTTTCACTCTCGAGTTTTCATGTGGCTCTTTTGCTCATATATCACTGAAACTCCCAGGATTACTATGAAAAAAGATGTGATTGATTTGAGCTGTTCTCATATTCTTGTGCAGTTTTGTTTCACATTAAGCTGGTTTGAGTTTGAACTTTGGCTGGAGGCTGTTGCAAGCTCTGACTGTGGGTTGTCTCCAGATGCTCCGGTTTTATTTCAAATATTTAAAGATGTGCATGTAAAAAATATTGTGATACTAAACTGACCAAAGTATGGATATGAATAGGTAATTATCTGTCTTTGTGTCTAAGATAAAAMATTTCTGCAGTGCAGTTGGTGGATTTACTTTACAATCACAAACACACACAAAACTTTGTGGAAARTAAGATTTAAATCACAAAGAAATGGGAAAAATAAGGTTATCCTATTGAAAAGCAATGCAATTTTATTATGTGTCAAAATATTCCAACTACTTCACTATAAAGAGTACGGTGGCTAACAGGCGCAAAAGGTGAAACACACAACAAACACATGAATGATGCAAACTTCAAAACACAAACAGAAAAAAACAAATGCAAGTGAAAAGCGCTATAAAAGAACATTTCCATGATCACAGAAAATAGACAAAAGCAAAAACTCACAACCAAACAAAACACAAAGAAAAAAAAATGCTGCAAATATCAAAAACCACTGCAAGTCACAAAATGCTGCAAACTCACTCCACAAACTGGACGTGGACCAGACCACTAGAGGCCTTGAACACTAGGTCATACCAGACACCTCCCCCCCACCCAGTGGTCTCATGTGCTTCATGTGTTTGCTGCGTGTTTGCACCATATGCAAGTCTATWATAAAAATTACTTTTTTTTTACATCAAACAAAAAGGGCCAGGACCACTTTCTTACACCTAAATTAGACTAATTAAACTCTTCAGTTGAGCCAACATGCTTCAGGTCCCCCAAGCCCAGCCGGTCGAGGCTGATTGCTGCCTGTCCTGGGCCTGGTTCTTGTTCTRTTGGAGGTTTCTTCCTGTTRGAGSGAAGTTTTTCCTCTCCACTGTCACCATTGTGCTGCTTAGGATGGAAGACTGTGAAGAAGTGATTCAACTCAATCTTCTGGCTTCCTTAGATTGATAACTGTTAATATTTGTTGTGACTTGGCTCTATATAAATAAGCTGAACTGAACAGAATTGAATTCAAACAGACATAAAAGACAACAAGAAATATGCACGACTTTTATAAATAAAAGTCTGTCAAATGAAACACAGGTAAAATTAACCTTTGACATTTTTTTTCACATGTGTGAAAACAGAAGCCACGGAGGTTTTACTCTCCTGTTGTCATTAAACTTGATCTTTCACCCTGCACGGACTCTCTCTGTGATTTACCACTTYAGGAACATACAGTAGGAGGATAACATCCCTTCATCCTGATAAATCTCTCTTCCTGGCTTTTTCTCTCTCTCTCTGCTCTATCAGGCTGAACCTCGCTGATCTGTTCAATCACCCGGGAGCGCTGAGGCAGGACCCCGTAAAGGTGATTCACTTCATTTCAGCCCTTCATACACCGTCTCTGCTGCTCCCTTCATCCCTKGCTTCTCTCTGTTTATAGTTCCCCTCGGTCAGCGATTGTTAACCCAACACTGCTGCCTGATGTTTTWAAAAAAAGACGAGTAAAAAATTTGCTTTTTCATGTACTACAAAAAGAGAGGCTWATATTTCTTTCTCTGAGAAGTTAGGCATGCTCAGACGCCTCAMTCTATTTTCTCAAGTAAACACTTTTGTTGTGCAACTGTCACTTAAACCAGCTTTTTCTGGTTYTGCTTTCTTAGACTTTTTCCTGTAACTTTTGTGACATTTTGACATATTTGACAGTTTGAACCGCTGTAGAGTGCTAACAGGCTCACTGTGTCTGCTTCTGGTGTCTTGTTTGCAGCCAATGACTGACATCATGGAGGCAGATGCCAGTGCTTTCTAAACTTCTGTGCACTTTTGTTGTTGTTTATAGTTTATAGATATAGTGAATCACGATTAGCCAAGAAACAGAATCTGATAAAAGTGCAATCTTCGCTTTCAACTTGAACCAAATCAGATTTCGATTTGGACAAAAAGAAATGGTCTTTGTCTGAAAAATATGGTAACCAATTACCCTGTGTTGTCCCCCCCCCACCCTGTTGTTTTACCCACTGACCCATGAAGACTGGGAAGTGACTGATGTCTTATTGTCTCACATTATGTTCCCTCATCTTCATTCAGTGTCGCTGGAAAATTCAGGAGAACTGGGCAATTATTTCTGATGTATCTACTTGGACAAATGCTGGCATTCTGAGCAGACCCAGAGGTTTGTGTCCTCATTATTGATACTCTCCACACTGTTCAGTTCAAGCTTTGACGAGACGTCCAGTTTAGTCTTGAGATCGATGGTGCGTTACTAATTTTAAGAAGATTTTCAGTCATGTTTATTAGATCACGGGTGAGTTGGTCATTAAGGGGATGAAGCTGAAATGTGATTGGCCATATTTTATTAGTATGATAAGGTAATGCAAAACAGAAGATGGTAATGTGAATTACTGAACTGTTTTAGCAAAGCTTTACAATTTCCACACTTGATCATATGCCAATAACTAGAACTTGAGTGTTTCAATAAAATATTTGTTTTACTGAATATAAATTGGAAAAACAATATGCCTCATGCAAGAAAATTTTTGTATTTTTATCCTAAATTTCTCTTACTTTTGTTTGAAGGAAGGGCTCATGCAAACATGCCACGACAGATTCAGCAAACACTTCTATCTTCAGGAAAAGTGTGTTAAAAAGCAGCGTAAGCATGATAACTGCCACATGTACGTGCAGGTGCTCATGCACAAGGAGTGGAAATTAGCATAACTACCACCCCAAAAACACCACATAAGGCTATGTTTCCCACCCAACATACCAGTAAGTGTCCATTCATTAAAATGACATCGCAAAGTAAAAAGAACTTCATGCGTCCAGGGATTGAAGTCCTGCTCTCAGAGATCCAGAAAAAAATGTCATTTTTAGCAGCGTCAGCTGTGGAATTAAAGGAGCTGCTAAAGACGAGGAATGAAATGACGACTGCTGTTAATGTCATGTCTCCCGTGGATCACATACAGTCACAGAAACCTAAATCTAAATCATATTCACATTCATCTCTCTTTAGTCCTGCTCTGGTTTTCTTTTGATCAAATATTTTTAATTCAAGTGTAAACAACTGTGTTAGATAATTTTCAYAGAAGAAGAGCCACAGCCCGGACCGATGTRCCAGTCGCGCACCGTCTCCCCTGCTGTCGCGAGTGTTGTCAGAYGCATTTCTGAAAAAARCATTTTAAAATGTCTACAAAATATGTCTGGCACTTTGGAGATAATARWATAACYGATGTGCTCRAYAAATCTCAGAAAAATAAAATTTGATTAAAAAAACAAYAYAATCTCTGTTTGAATAAAGCTCATTATATACCAAGACAAATTAAACTTCAATAAATGCATAATTTAAGTTGGTTTATAGTTTGAGATCTTCATATTAATATTGTAGTGTTATAC